TATTTTGGAAAATGTGAAACTCGTGAAAATTAATATTTACAAAGAAACATGTTCCATCGGTTAAAGGGGACACATCAGTTTTAGAGTTGATTCATTCTAATATTTGTTAATTGAATGGAATACTTACCCGAGGAGGTAAAATGTATTTCATTACATTATGTGATGACTTCAGTCGCTTTTTTCATGTTTATTTATTACACTCAAAAGATGAAACTTTTGAACCCTTTAAATTATATAAAGCTGATCGAAAATCAACTCGAAAAACGAATCAAAATACTTCAATCAGACAGATGTGGCGAATATTTCAATAGAGAGTTCGATACATTCTGTAAAGAGAATGGTATCAAACATGAACACACCTTACCATTTACTCCTCAACAAAATTTAGCGAAACGAAAGAACCGAACCCTTGTTGAAATGGTTAACTGTATGTTGAACCAATCGGGTCAGCCAAACAATCTCTGGGGAGAAGCCCTGCTAACTGCATGCCATATTCATAACCGAATCACTAGTCGTGTGATTCCAACTAGCCTATATGAGTTTTGGAAAGAAACCAAACCTGAACAACTTTAGAGTCTGGGGTTGTATTGCCTACTATCAAACCCTTATCCAAAAAGATCTAAATTGGGAGCTAATGATGTTAAAAGCATATTTGTTGGATACGTGATAAATAACAAGTCTTATAGATTATTGGACAAAGAATCAGGAGTTATAGTAGAATTCATGTATGTGGAATTCTTTGAAAATTAGTTTTCAGAAGATGCCGAAAGATTAGAACCAACATTGACCTCTAATCCTTCTTGTTCATCTTGTGATAGTTCAAAAACCTGAAATAAGGTTGACGAACCATGAAGAAGTACAAGACCGAGAAAAGAGAAAAGTCTAGGAAATGATTTCTTCTCGTACTTGGTAGAAGGGACACAAAACAAAGTGACAATGGAGGTCATTTTATCTATCAATACTGAAGATGATCCTAAGATATATAAAGAGGCTATGACTTTAAGGAATGATCCTATGTGTAAGGAAGCAATAAATGATGAAACAGACTATCTTGGGAAACGAAACTTGGGAATTGGCTGATTTGGCTACCAGGGTGAAACCCATCAGTTCCAAATGGATATTCAAAAGGAGGAAGCACCCTGATGATTCAATATCATCCTTTAAGGCTAGATTGGTGGCTTAAAGGTACATACAGAAAGAAGGAGTCGAAGATTTTGACACCTATGCTCTAGTTGCTAGAATCCGTTCTATTCGAACTCTTATAGCAATTTCAGCCATAAAAGGATTGTATATTCATCAAATGGATTTGAAAACAGCCTTCCTGAATGGCATTTAAACGAGGTTTATATGGAGCATCCTGAAGGGTTGTAGTACCTAGACAAGAGAACAAAGTGTGAAAACTTGTTAAATCTCTATATGGGTTAAAACAAACTCCCAAATAGTGGCACGAAAGATTTGATACGACTGCCACATCTTTTGGGTTCCAACATAATGGGCCCGACAGGTGCATTTACTCAAAATGCATGAGAGGATACACTATGGTAATATGTCTGTTGATGATATGTTAATCATCGGAACCGATCTAGAAGGTATTCTTGAGACAAAAGGGTACTTATCCTCGAACTTTAAGATGAAAGATCTTGGAGAAGTAGATATCATCATTGGGATAAAGATTAAAAGGTCAGCATCTCAAATCTCTCTAAGTAAATCCCACTACATAGAGAAGATACTGACCAAGTTTCAACATCTGAATATAAAGAAGTTTAACACTCCATTTGATTCAAGTGTGAAACTCGATAAAAACTCTGGTAGAATAGTGGCTCAACTAGAATATGCTAGTGCAATAAGATGCATGATGTATGCAATGCATTGTACTAGACCAGACATTGATTTTGCTGTGAATAAATTGAGTCAATATACTAGCAATCCGGGTCCAGATCACTGGAAATTAATTAGCAGAGTACTGGGATACTTGAAAAGAACCAAAGATCTAGAATTGACATATTCTACACATCCATGAATCTTGGAGGGATATTCTGATGCCGGTTGGATAGATCACTCAAGTGATTCTAAATCCACAAGTGGGTGGATTTATACTATTGTGTTTGTCAAGTCTTGTGGGAACTTGGCAGATTCGTTGACCAAGCCTTTGACAAGAGACTTGGTAGGGTCAACTAGCAGAGACATGGGTTTGAAACCACGTAGAATCAGTTAGTGATGGAAATTCAACTTGGATATAGTGCCCCTATTTACCAAATTTAAAGGTTAACAACTAGTCACTTAACCGATAGAAGGTACTATCAATTGATAGATCCATGTAAGGTAACAGATAGTACGGCGTTGTCAAAAATAAGGTTGAATTAATCTCTTAAAAAAGTTTTGAGGCATCTTAGCAACAAAGATGTTATAGAACTTTGAGTATATGACTTAGAGATGGTGCCGCCTCAAACGAAGAGTAGTGGCTCCTCTTCTAGTAAGTCATGAAACAACATTTAGTGCATGGCCATATTCGTGCTCAATGAGAAAGCAAGGATGATAGATGATGTGTGTAAGTAAGCCAAAGTGGTCATAAGATTCAAGGTTTAAATCATAAGGATACCACTGAATTGATCCCTTCTTTCATACTTATATCAAGCAGGATTTAATCTCAGTGACACCATTGTAACATTATTTGCAATGAATGTCAGAAAACTGTCCAACCTGGTGGGGGATTATTGGAAATGTTAGTGAGGTTGGAAATTTATCCTCCATCCCACATTGGTAGATAGAAAAATATTAGAGAGCCTTATAAGGCTTTCCTCTCAATTAGGCCTTGAACTAATTGGTGGTCTCATGGTGGAGGTCATGAGTGGAAGGCCCAACACACACGCCCGTGCATGACCGTAGCTGAGGACGTGGGTGCAGGCACGAGATTCACGAAAGTGGCGTAAGGAGGCACACTTTGCACCTCGCATCGAAGCAGAAGGAACTTTGCCCTGAGCTCCTGCTTATCTTTTTTATACAAATTATAGAGAGATAGATAACTAAGGTTTAATTATAAACTACTAATTATTGGATTTGGTTTAAACAGATTAAAATCGGTTTTCAAATTGGTTTTAAACACATTTTTAGAGGATAATTATTGTTGGAGGATTATCCTCCAACTAACCCAACGTGATCCGAATTTGTGGGGACAAAATTGTGGGGTTTAGGGGGGTTTAACCAGTATAAATACTGGGTTAACACCACCCCTAACACACACTAAAAAATCATCTGCTTCCTTTTTTTTCTCTCGAATTTCTGCTTCAATCAAGTTCCTCTACCAACACTCTACATCTGCTTTGCTTTTGAGTTCGTTATCAAAGTTGTTAATAAACGAAACACGTTACTGCATCAAATCTTGGGCTTTGCGATTAGTAGACTCACAACATACAAAAATGGTCGTACAAAAGCTTTAAGGATAGGTTTTACGGTGCAGATCCCAAATCAACATCACTTCAAACAGGTTGGTTTCAATTTTCGTGTATTTCATTAACTTTTTGTTCACTAAGTGGACAACTCTTTTTCTATTCCATTCTTTCATTGAATCTATTGGAGGATAGATTCAAATCTGTGTGGTAGTGATCGGTTTGTGGTTGATTCTGGATATTAAAGTTACCCTCTTTTTATAATAAAGGTTTTAGCCTTGTAGTCTAATTTATCTTTTGGATAAAAGAGTTAAACTTTATTTATAAAGATTAAAACTTTATCATTTTATATATCTAATTTCTATTATTTTCAGCATTAAGCAAGCATACTTCTCTCTTTTGAGCTCAAATGCAATTTGGAAATCTATGAATGCAACCCACTTTGTTGCTTTGAGCATTCCATGCCTTATAGCAGTAACACCCTTTCTGAATTTTGAAACTTTGTTTCATAAGGTGCCAACTTTCAATGAAGCTCCCACATATCTTGTAAGTGTAAGTTCTTAAAATCAACCTCAGAGAACTCATTAAACTACATATTTGAATTTCTTCCATCTCTTTATCTTTAAATCATTAAACTTGGCAATCTTCATATTTGAATAAACTGTTCTCTTCATTTTCCCAATTCTTTCCATAAACTCCCAATACCCTCTTCTGAAGCTTTCAGATTGATTATTGAAGGTATCCAAATAAGTAAAAGTTCTGAAGATTTTTGCTATTTTGAACATATGAATGTACTTAAAGTCCAACAACTCAAACTCTTGTCTGATCAATTAGCTAATGTACTTTTGCTTTTGTGAGTTTGGTTGCATGTGTATGGGCAAGGTGGTATTGTTGGGCCGACCCACTGGCCTGATTTCTTGAGCAGTAGAATCAGGATTAAGGATGATAGTCTCGTAGATCCATTGTTTGACAATTGCATCTTGTCGCTTCAAGAGGGTATTGTCAATAGCAGGACGTGACGTTTGGGCATTGATGTGATCGAGTATGTTGTAGGCACATGCGATAACTTAGCTCTACCGAAGAAGCATATTGGCCTTTTTCAAGATCTAACATGAACGGTATGAGGTTTTGATATTTGTTTAGAGTTCGGCTATGACGAATGCAGTCCAAGTCTTACAGTCTTCAGAAGAGTTATCAGAGTTCGGAGCTAACTCTTAATACATCATCAAGAGTTAGGTAGGTAGTATTTTCACTTTGAGGAGTTTCTCCGATTAGAAGATTGAAGAGTTGAAGACCCAAGGATACTAGAACATATGTCATATTGTAATAGGATTGTCATGTAACTACTTGTACCTTTAGCATTTCTGTTCTAGTATAAATAGAAGTTACTTAGATCAGTTTTATACGTACTTAGAGATTGTAAATCACTTTGTACACAGATAGATACATACTTGTAGCTATTATACTTTTAAATAACTAAATGACAGTTTTACTCTTAATAATAGAGAGAAATAAATTTGTGTCTCTCATAAAATTATGGATAGAATTAATTGGGACAAATAAAAATAAAAATACTTATTTAGGATGGAAGGAGTACGGGCGAGAGATACTAACCTGGAAAGCATGAGTAGCTTCAACATCCGCCATCAGAAAACTCATTCCTTTTCCCTTGTGTTCATTAGCGATGTCGTGATATTTTGACTCAAAAGCACCAAAAGGCTTGCTACTGAAGTTCACAAAAAGCATAGCCTACCAATACCATAACATTTTAGTTACAAAAACTTCTACGTAAGAGAAAATATATATCATTACAACAACATCGAGTTTATAGGACACAAAACGAACTCAAAAGGTAATTCACCTTTCGGACTTGAATGCTTTTTGTAACTGTCCAATAACTTCTAGTAACTGACTTCTTCTTAAAGTTGCATTCGTTCTCAAATTTTAATGTATGAAACGTTACAACTTCTTGGTGTTTATCACTCTCGATTTTTTCCACAATCAAAAGTGTGATTTGAGATTATCCAAGTTCTTTTACTGTGATTTCTCACAAACCCCATATCCAACTCCCAACAACATTTAGGTGTAAAAGTTTCTTTTTCGAATAAAACTTAACGTGCTAGAGGTGCCGATTGAACTTATCTACCATCTACTTCGGTATTCAAAAATAAATAAACCATAAGAGCGGTGCCTGATTGGTTTGAGCTTGAACTCTAAAAGTTACAAGTGCCTGGAGGTCCCAGGTTCAAAATCCAAGGAGGAATGAAAATTCCCTTTGTGGCGACAGAGGTTCAAATGCGGTGACTCCGGGCTAACCGCAAAACAGGTGGTCGTCCTGGGATTAGTCGACTTACATAACGAGTTGAATATTCAGGTTAATCAAAAATAAATAAATATATCAATTAATAAATTTCACCTTTGTATTGGGAGTGTTAAAGAATTTGATGACAAACGGGTGATTCTTTGGATCTTTGTTGAAGAGTGTTACACTAGGAATGGTTGCTTCCTCAATAAAGGTCTCTAAGGCATCCAAATCAAAATCCTGCAAGAATGGTTATCTCTTAAAACAAAAACGTTCATTTAACAACAGACGTTTATAATAAAATCGGGTTTATAAAATGTCAAAAACGACTTATGTGTTTTAATAGACTATTTTGTAACGTTGGATTTAATTTTATAGACACAAACAATAAAAATCTCATGACTAAAAGTGTTATAATGAGTTTGGAGAACAGTTTTTATACATCTTCACAAGTTTTTAGAACATCTTTGAAAATTAAGTATCATATTAACTATTTTATATGATGTTTTTGATAAATGTCTTGTAAACACATTTTTTTGAACAAGACACTTGTTTTTGATAAGTTGTTAAAACATCCAAAAACGTTTTATAAACTTATTGTAACATCTTAAGATAAAACATTTTTTTTTCCTATAAAATGGTTTATTATGACACTTAAGAGGTGTTTGGTTACATGTATTAAACAGTAATCAATAAGAATGAAACTAAAAGAAACTGTTTGTTTTTATATAACATAATGGACTCATTTACCCAGAAACCCAAATTTTCATTCTAGGTTAAACCAGGGGGAATGAAAATTCATTCCCATTTTCACTCCTTGTCATTTTCTTTCATTTGTCTGAACCAAACACCCCCTTAGTCTTTTTTTTTTTTGCCTTCTATAAACCCGGTTTTGTTATAGTCCATCAAATTTAATTGTACTAAATCATTTATAGACATATTACAATAAAATCGAGTTTGTAAGACGCTAAAAAACGTTTCAGTGTCATAATATATACTTTTTTATAAGACTTAAATTTTCAGTTAGACAAATGTATGTACCATTTGAAAGTGTTACAATAAGTTCATATGGTGTTTTTGGATATTCTAACAAAAAATATCCAAACATTTTTCGAAATAAATTATTAAATTAGCTATTTAATATGATATTTTGGAGAATGATCCTATAAAACTGTCTTTTTAAAAGACACTGGTTTTTATATAAAAATAATAATGTCATATAAAAATAATTAAATGAACCCTTTATTTCAAAAATTGATCACAAAAATTGTTTTTACACCAAAAAATATTTCATAAAAATATCGTAATACTTTTACATAAAACGCATAATTACTTGATAAACATAAATTCTATAAAACAATCCATTATGACATTTCGACATTTTTGACTTTCTATAAACCAAATTCTCTTGTAGTGGCTTTCGAATGTAAAACTTACCTCAAAATCTACTACAAGTTCGTCAAACGGCTTGAATAAACGGACAATAGGTCCAGACACAGTAGAATCACCTCGTGGTAAAAGTTTTGCATTTAATGTATGAGCAAACTCGTAGTTGGAACGCAAATTTTCGGCTAAAGTTGAAAATGCCTCGAACTTCTCTCCAGATAATTTGGGGAACACTCCAACCTAAAAGAACAAACACATTTAGATGCTTTTGTTATACTGGTTATATATAGGACGTAAATGAATTTAATGTCTTAATAGACTATTTTATAGGACTTCAGATTAATTATAGAACCAAACACATATATATCATATGTAAAAGTGTTACAATAAGTTTATAGTATGTTTTTAGGTGTCTTAACAAGTTTTTTAAGATAATTCTGAAATAAAACGTACTATTAGTTTTTTGTATGATATCATATACAAAAAGTGTTCTATAAAAATATGTGTTTATAAGACAGATTTCAAAAGTGTCATATAAAAAAGTAATAGAACACTTGATTTAAAAAATGTCCAAATAAAACTTGTTAGAATGTTCAAAAGCCGTAATATAAACTTATTATAACACTTTTATATATGATACATAATTGTTTATCCTATAAATTTAGGTATTGTAAAGTTGTATTCTAAGACATTTAATTTGTTTTTGCTCTCATAATTAAACCTATTTTTGTTATAGTAATATGCTACAAATAATAACACACACACACACGTGTCTGTATATGTGAAGAGATACTTGGGATCATGTAAGATAAGACTGTTTTTGTGAGACACGATTTTATACTTGAAACTTCACAGCAAAACATTGTAAAGGTAACCTTCATAGTGTTTTTATTGTGAAGATTTGACTTTTTTTTTACATTCACAACATTTTGTTGTGAAATTTTAAGTGTAAGAATCGTATCTCATGAAAACAGTCTTGTCTCATGTGAACCCAACCCTATATATATATATATATATATATATATATATATAAATAAGGAAGAGTTCAAACGAGAACATTTCATTTTACGAGAACGCGTGAACACTCTTTTACTATAGACAATCACATGTGATATTCAATTACATATGATACACATGTGATACTAAATTAGAGACGCAGCCGATTTTCAATACGATCTTGGTTGCGGGCCAAGTCGCTCTTATACCACTAAGCCCTCTCACAAGTATTATCACATGTGATAAGGGTGTTGTTGATATGATACTATAATTCATCAAGACCATCACATGTGATGCTAAATCATAGTCGTAGAACACGTCGTCCGCACATTACAGGGTCCCCTTACGCGTATTATCACATGTGATAAGGGTGTTCTCGTAAAATGAAGATGTTCTCGTTTGAACCTCCACCTATATATATATATATATATATATACATACAGAGAAAGGTAGAACATACAAAAGTTAAAGGAGTAGGCATCACAAGACTTACAATAACAATCTCATCCCCATCAATAAGATGAGTAGCATCTTCTGTAGATTTGATTTGTGCAGAAGCAGGTCCAGATTGTTTCTTCAAGTAAGCAACTATTCCTTGTGCATCCCTTGGTCCTTTGTAATCTTGTACCCTTTTCCCTCCATCTCTAATCAGTTTCAGTGTTGGGAAGCTTTTTATGTCATATTCAATGGCCACATCTTTGTTCTTTTCATCATTCACATCAACTTTTGCTACAACTACTGGGGACCCATTGTTACTCAATATACAAGCAGCTTTCTCATACTGCAAAACTCATCAGTTAAACAAGTCATAAGCGACATACGAAACCAAGAAACGATATACTGTACGCTACAATCAAATCGGGTTTACAATAGGACCGTAAAAATGTGTAAGCTTTCTATTAGACTGTCTTATAGAAACGGTGTTATAGAAAAATATGTGTTTATAAAACGCTTCCCACAAGTGTCCCAATAAAAAAACCTACTATGACATATCATTTCACAAGTATCCTAAAAAAACTTTTAAACGTCCAAAAACGTTATATAAATCTATATAACACTTTTTAGTCGTATAAATCAATATATTATGACATTTAAACATTTTTAACATCTATAAACTCGATTTTGTTACAGTATTAAATGGAAGACTTTTACCTACGGACTTTTCCTTGGGAAATCCGTTGCTAAAGGGTGATTCGTAAGAATACCGTCACAAAAATTGGTGGGTAATTCAAATCAGTGACATATTACTCAAGTACTATCCGAGTGATTTCTTGGTATTTTCTCGAAAAATATTGGATTTTACCAAACCATTAGTATTTTCTGGACGAAACTTTGTCTGAGTAATTTTTAGGGGAAAAAAAATCATTTGGTTTATAGTGATAAATTAAGGAACATTCTTATCCAAATATATCAATTGAAGTGAAGATGATGATACTATTACCTCTGGAGCAAGGTCCTTGCAATGGCCACACCTGGTGACACATAGAAAATGCAATAATTTAAGATCCGACTAAAACAAGACGACGAAAATGGAAATCAACGATGATCATGCAGACAATTTATTCCAACGACGAAATTAAATACATATACGATGGAATTACTTACCAAGGTGCGTAAAATTCGACGACGACAAAATTATGTTTGCCAATAGTTTCAGTAAAGTTGGATTGATCAAGAGTGAGAACAAACTCTTTCGAATGTGATGGCTCTTTACTATCGACCGTGATACATAATCCACCAACAAAAGACAACGCTACAAGAGAAAATAAGAAAAGGACGATCAAAATCCCAAATGAAACCATTAACAAAACGTTGCAATCTTCCGACGTTCACTCTTTCTACAGAAATATCTTCCAAGATCGAGATGAAGGAGAGTGAGACTCCCTAACTATTTACCTTACTCTTAGCGGTATCTGTAACGATCTACTGACTAAAGAATCAGTATTTTCCACATGTCATGTTATTATAGGTTTTGGTCTTACTATCTGGGTTGTTATAGGCCACTAATTTACTATTTAGATTCCGCTAAAGATGATTTTCAACCATACATTACTCTTCCCTTTTAACGGTTTATGTTTAATTAGTATTTTTCATCTCTTTTATTTCGGTCTTCTATACTTTTATACTTTTATTGTACTAACTTGATTTAGAAGGAAAAAAAACATACGTTGTTTTGACGAATTACATGATTTAAAAAGATCTTGTCAAATACTTTCAAAGTGAAACCAATGCCGACGACAAGATCGTGCATGCTTGCATATGGTTCCGGTAAAATTGGATTGGTCAAGAGTCGGAACAAACTCTTTCGATTGAATATTGATCGTGAGGCATGAAAATCCACCAACATAAGACGACGTTACAAGGGAAATAAGAAGAGGATTATAGAACTCCATATAAAATTGACACACAGTAAAACGAGTCACAACGCTATAAATATCTTCTAAGACGATGGAGAGTGGTGCTCCCTAGCTATTTAATATACTCTCAATAGCTTTTCATAACAATCCAATAGCTAAATTAATCATTAATTATTTTCCATATGTACAATTATACCTTATATTTCTGGTTAAAATAATCATCAATTTACTAAGGTGGTGTTTGTTTTTTTTTTTAAAAAGATCTTATTTTACCACTTATGTCTGGTTCGGTCAGACATAAGGCAATTCAGACCGTTTGTTTTTTTTTTTTTTCAGAGCCACTTATCACTTAGTTTCCTCTTAAAATTAAATGATAACCTAGCCACTTATTTTCCTCTTAATCCTGAAGACTATCTAGAGAACCGATTTCTACTTCATCATTCGATCGACTTCACCCTCTTAATCGATTGACTTCACCCTCTATCGATTGACTTCACCATCCTCACCGCCTCAATTGATCGACTTCACCCTCCATCGCCTCTGGTGGCTTCAAATCGACCCAAATCAGATTCAAATCAAGAGGGTTTTCTTCCCTGTGGGTTTTCACTAATGTGTGTTTTCGTTCCTATGCAAACCAGTAGTTGTGCACCTTTATCCTCATGAATCAAGGTATTTTCGTCCCTGTAGTTTTCGTCATGATGGAGATTGCTTCGATTTTAGAGGTGGATTTGTGCGTTGGATTTTAGAGAAGAAGTGGTGGTGGACGGTGGTTGATGGTGGTGGGATGAGGGAGAAGAGTGAGAATGGAAGGCTTCATCTAGAGGAGAAGGAAGAATTAAAGGAATCTTTGTAACATAAACATAAGTGAAATAAAAAATTATACATATTCATATGTTTTGTTGGTTACAAAAGCAAACTGTTGATTCAGATTTCAGACTTCAGACATTTGTCAGTTTACAAAAACAAACAGTCTGACTAATTCAGATTTCAGACTTTTGCACCACCTCTTAAAAATCAGATATAAAATCAGACTTCATACTTCAGCACCTCTTAAAAAACAAACGCCACCTAAATATACATCCCATGTTCCACTTAAAATCCCCTAAAATAATGTTCAACTACACATTACACTACTAGAAAAACAGGTATCAGCGAGGGAAAATATCCCTCGCAGATCAGCGAGGGATCAGCGAGGGAAATCCCAAAAAACTAAATCCCTCGCTATTCCCTCGCTGATCTGCGAGGGAAATTTTCCGTCGCTGATCCCTCGCTGATCTGCAAGGGATCAGCGAGGGAATTGTCAAAAAACTCATTCCCTCGCTGATCTGCGAGGGATCAGCGACGGAAAGATTCCCTCGCAGATCAGCGAGGGAATAGCGAGGGATTTAGTTTTTTGGGATTTCCCTCGCTGATCCCTCGCTGATCTGCGAGGGATCAGTGAGGGAAATACCAAAAAAAACTTTTCCTCGCTGATCTCTCGCTAATTTGCGAGGGAAATTTCTTCTATAAAATCCCTCGCTGATTTGCGAGGGATCAGCGAGAGAATTTTCTATTTTTCCTATTTTCTCATTTTTTATGTGTTATATGTACATATTTTTATATGTTGATATCGTATGTATGCATGTCATGTGTTGTTTGTGTGTATGTATATATATATATATATATATATATATGTTGTGGTTGCTAACCGCAATATATGCATGTGTTATAAGTATATATACCCGTCGTGAGGGAAAATGATATAAATTCACATATACATATACGTTTAAACATATATTCATTCATCGAATCGTGGTTAGCAACTAGTACACATATATATATATATATATATGTGTATATATATATATATATGTGTATATATAATTGACCGACGGGTATATATATATACATATAACACATACAACGTCGTGATCGACATATATGTATATTACACGGGCTAACGGGTATATATACTTATAACACA